AGACCCACACTGTGAAAGCCAAGATCAGACTCCTGCAACCTCTCCCACCCCAAAAAACACAAATAAATATGCTAATTTTGTTACTGTTTTTCGAGAAAAGGTTTCTTTGTGTAGCCCTGCCTGTCCTGGAACTCACTCTGTAGACCAGACTGGTCTCGAACTCACAGAGATCTGCCTGTCTCTGCCTCCCGAGTGCTGCGATCAAAGGCGTGCGCCACCACTATCTGGCTACTTTTTTTTTTCAAGACAGGGTCTCCCTGTAGATCTAGCCTATGTAAAATTGTGTAGACTAGGCTGCCTCTGTCTAGTACTGGGATCAAAGGCATACACCACCATGTACAGTTGTACTGTGGCTTCTGCAGAGGGCCACAGTTTGGTTCCCAGCACTCACATGGTGCTTATAACCATCTGTAACTCCAGTCCCAGAGAATCTGACGCTCTCTTATGACCTCTGCAGACACCAAGCACAGATATGGTGCACAGACATGCATCCAGGCAAAACATTCACACTCATAAAATAATAATGACCAGGCTCTAGCCTGATGACCTGATTTGATTCTCTAAAACCTGTATGGCAGGAGAGAACCAACAGGTAGTGTAGCTAGAGTTTTCCTGCCTGGCTCACAGTCAGGACAAATCTCTGTCACCCGACAGTCCCACAGCAGCTCAGACCCGACCAAGTAAACACAGAGACTTATATTGGTTACAAACTGTATGGCCGTGGCAGGCTTCTTGCTAACTGTTCTTATACCTTAAATTAATCCATTTCCATTACTCTATACCTTGCCACATGGCTCGTGGCTTACCAGCATCTTCACATGCTGTTTCTCATCATGGCGGCTGGCAGTGTCTCTCTGACTCAGCCTTCCACTTCCCAGCTTTATTCTCCTCCTTGTCCCGCCTATACTTCCTGCCTAGCCAATGGCCAATCAGTGTTTTATTTATTGACAAATCAGCAACACATTTGACATACAGAACATCCCACAGCAAGGTAGGATTATCCTCTCCTTCCCATGGATACGCCATGGCATCCATATAGGTGCACACACAGACTCACAAATGGGTGTGTGTTGTTTGTTTTTGTTTGTTTGTTTTGTTTTTGTCTCCCCCCCCACCCCCACCTCACTATTCAGCCCTATAGACCAGAGCTGGCCACCAGCCTGTCTCTCTGGCTCAAACGCTGGGATTAAAGATGTGTGCCTCTGTCCTAGTGCTGGGTTTAAAGATGTGGGCAGCTGTTGTTTGTTTGTTTGTTTTCTGAGACAGGGTTTCTCTATGTAGCCTTGGCTGTCCTGGATCTCTTAGAGATTGCCTACCTCTGCCTCTAGTGCTGGAATTAAAGGTGTGCACCATCACTGTCTGGCTTCCAAACCCCTTTTTTGAGACAAACTTTCATATCACACAAGTTGGTTTTGAATCCCTCCCCCCATGTATAGTGGAGGATGGCCTTGAATTTCTGATTTTCCTGCCTCTACCTCCTGCATGTTGAGATTGCAGGCATGCACCACCATACTCATTTTATACCATGCTGGGAATTGAATCCAGGTTTCAGAGTTACTAATCCCCAGCCCCTATTTAGTAATACTACGAAATGGTTCTGATTAGCCCTAACCCTGCACACACATACACACACACACACACACACACACACACACACACACACACACACACACTGAGAGAGAGGGAGAGAGGGGAGTGAGGGACAATCATTCCTTCCAGAACCACGCTGGTCTTGGGAAGTCAGTTCCCCTACAGAAAAAGGGAATGTTTAATTAACCAAAACAAATAGCCAACAGCATGACTACCGGGGAAGGGCAATCAGTTGGAGGTCAGCTGAATGGGGAAGGTCCTAGGGACACAAGAAAATGTTAGTCTAGCTGGGCCGTGGTGATAGCCGGGTGACAGGCACCTGTCTTAGAGGCGGGTACTATCGCCAACCCCATTGAGAGGCAGAAAGTAGATCAGAGAAGTTCAGTAACTTGCCTTGAAAGGCATGGGATGTGCTATGTCTCTGACTCCAAGCCGGGCCATGCATGCCCGGAATCCGCACCAGAATCTCCTCTCTCCCATCATTTGTTTGCAATATCCGAAAACAAATAGGCAAGAGTGTCATCTGACTGCTCTGTGTTAGCAGAGTCGTGGTTTCCAAGCTGCTTGCATTAGTTTTACCTGCTGCTCTTCCCGAGTCCATGGAGTCGCTTCACGCCCGATTGTTTCCTGGTCTCTCCATCAAGATTCAACGCAGTAATGGCTTAATTCACAGTGCCAATATAAGCACACTGAACTTGGAGAAATCCTGTGTTTCAGTGGAATGGACAGAAGGAGGTAACACACAGGGAAAGAGATTGATACTGATGATGTGGCTGCAATAAACCCAGACCTCTTCCAGCTTCTTCCCTTACACCGAAGGACAATCTGCCACTGCAGGAAAATGTAACAGTTCTGAGGCAAAAACGCAGATTGGTCAACTCCAAAATTCCAGCTCCAAAAGAAGGTCTTCAAGGTTGGGGATTTAGCTCAGTGATAGAGCGCTTGCCTAGCAAGTGCAAGGCCCTGGGTTCGGTCCTCAGCTCTGGAAAAAAAAAAAAAAAGGTCTTGGAAGCTGGTCCACTCGCATGTCCACTGTCCCAGAGGTTCAAATTGCCACTCAGGAGAAGGAAATGGAGGTGGAGCTGCCTGTGGCTACAAACTCTCGCAAGCAGTTTTCAGTTACCACCGACTTCCCTAGGCCCTCCTGCCCTGCAGTAGCAGAATTACCATTGTCGATGGTTAGTGAGGAGACAGAAGAGCAAGTCCACCCTACCCGAAGCATGTCTTCTGCAAACCCTGGAAATTCAGTTTGGAGGAAATCATGTATTGTGAAGGAAATGGAAAAAATGAACAAGCGGAAAGAGAAGAGGGCCCAGAACTCAGAAATAAGAATAAAGCGAGCTCAGGGACATGACAGCAGCTTCCCAAACTGGGAATTTGCCCGGATGGTTAAAGAATTTCGGGTTACTATGGAATGTCACCCACTTACTGTGACTGAACCTATTGAGGAACACAGGATCTGTGTCTGTGTTAAGCGCCCACTGGCTGGGCGGCGGTGGCACACGCCTTTAATCCCAGCACTCGTGAGGCAGAGGCAGGCGGATCTCTGTGAGTTCGAGGCCAGCCTGGTCTACAAAGTTAGTTCCAGGAAAGGCACAAAACTACACAGAGAAACCCTGTCTTGAAAAACCAAAAAAAAAAAGGCGCCCACTGAATAAACAAGAACTGACCAAGAAGGAAATCGATGTGATTTCTGTTCCTAGCAAGTGTTTCCTCTTTGTGCATGAACCCAAATTAAAAGTGGCCTTGACAAAGTATCTGGAGAACCAGGCGTTCTACTTGGACTTTGCCTTCGATAAAACAGCTTCAAATGAAGTTGTCTACAGGTTCACAGCAAGGCCACTGGTGCAGACGATATTTGAAAGGGGAAAAGCAGCTTGCTTTGCCTATGGGCAGACAGGCAGTGGGAAGACTCATACAATGGGTGGAGACCTGTCTGGTAAACCTCAGAATGCATCTAAAGGGATCTACACAATGGCTTCCTGGGATGTCTTCCTTTTGAAGAGTCAGCCTCGCTACCGGAACTTAAACCTGGAAGTTTATGTGACATTCTTTGAGATCCACAATGGGAAGGTGTTTGATCTGCTCAACAAGGCCAAGTTACATGTACCAGAAGACAACAAGCAACAGGTGCAGGTTGTGGGATGCAGGAGTAACTGGTTAACTGCCGATGACGTCATCAAGATGCTCAACATGGGCAGCACCTGCAGGACTTCTGGACAGACGTTTGCCAACTCCAATTCCTCCCACTCCCATGCCTGCTTCCAGATTCTTCTTCGAGCCAAAGGGAAATTACATGGCAAATTCTCTTTGGTAGATCTGGCAGGGAATGAACGAGGGGCCGACACTTCTAGTGCTGTAGTGCTGTAGTGCTGACCGGCAGACTCGCGTGGAGGGTGCAGAGATTAACAAGTCTCTCCTAGATCTGAAGGAGTGCATCAGGGCACTGGGACAGAACAAGGCTCATACCCCATTCTGTGAGAGCAAGCTGACACAGGTGCTGAGGGACTCATTCATTGGTGAGAACTTGAGGACTTGCATGATTGCCATGATCTCACCAGGCATAAGCTCCTGTGAATATACATTAAACACGCTGAGATATGCAGACAGAGTCAAGGAGCTGAGCTCCCACAGCGGGCCCAGTGGAGAGCAGCCAACTCAAATAAAAACAGAAGAGATGGAAGCCAGCTCTAATGGAAGCCCGCTGGCAGTTGATTTCACCAAGGAAGAGGAGGAGCTGTCTTCCCAGATGTCAAGCATTAATGAAGCCATAACTCAGATCAGGGAGCTGGAAGAGAGGGCCATGGAGGAGCTCAAGGAGATCATACAGCAAGGACCAGGCTGGCTTGAGCTCTCCGAGATGACCCATCAGCCCGAATACGACTTGGAGGCCTTTGTGAAGAAAGCAGAGTCTGCCCTGGCGCAGCAGGCTAAGCACTTCTCAGCCCTGTGAGAAGTCATCAAGGCCCTGCGCCTGGCCATGCAGCTGGAAGAACAGGCTAGCAAGCAAATAAACAGCAAGAAACGGCACCAATGATGATTTCAAATAAAGATGTTTGGTATCAAATAAAAAAAAGAGTGCCATCAAGGCGCACCCTTGTGCAAGCCCTGCCAATCACCCCTTGAGAGCAAGCACCGCGTGGCCTCCGGGCATCACAGATGGAACCTGTGTCTCGTGGAGGGGGGAACCAAAGACAGGCACGTACGCGCATGCGGGGGTGGGGGTCCTTCCGAGGCTTCCGCCTCCCCGCCCTAGCAAAGTTACCTGGCCCACGGGGGGCGGAGTTAGGGAGTTACGGTCTGTGCGCGTGCCGGCCCCGCCCCCGGTCTCCTCTGGCACCTGTTGGCCTGAGGGGCCGCGGCTGCCACCCAATAGACAGCCTCCCTGAGCCGCCAGGGCCCCGCCCCCGATGCGAAGCCACCAATCCCCGCGTTGCCACCGCCCCTCTGCTCCCTGGCCCCTCCTTCCGCGCGCTTCTTCCGGGCCGGCTGGAGCGGGGGGCAAGGCCATGGCTCTCTGGGCGCTGCTCAGCCCTGGGGTGCTGGTGCGGACTGGGCACACCGTGCTGACCTGGGGAATCACGCTGGTGCTCTTCCTGCACGACACCGGTGAGCTGGACACCGCGCGACCCCGAGCCCACCCAATCCCTCATGGTTCCCCTGGAGTGGGTCTCATCCGGTTCCCCTAATCCTCAGATACATTGAGATTCACCACCAGCTCCTCAGTTCTCATCTGTCGATCCAGGAACCATCCACTCTCTGTCTGATACCCAAGTTGGTCCCTAATTAATGCCGGGATTTTTCCTGTCGCCGACATATATCCATCCAAAGACCACCAGTAACCATCAAATCCGAGGACCAGCTAGAGGCCCCGTCTCCCCTGACCCTGGCCTCCACCCCATCCTTCTCAGAAATTGCCTCCCAGCCTCTCCCTGAGTAAGATTAAGAAATCGATTAGATTCAAATACTGGCTTTTTGCACAACTCCCCAAATCCTGAGAAGACTACTGCCCAAAAGAACACCAGAGCAGTCTCCCACCTTCCCTTGGTAGCATTCACCCATCCACCTCCTTCCCCTTTATTTCCTTCAGCAACCCCTACCCAGGTTTCCCCACCCAAGGCAACAGCCCCCACCACTGAGGCTTTGGGTCAGCCTCCTCCACCACCTTTGCCCTTTATGCTCGGGCTTCCCCTCCAGGAATCAGCAGCTCCTTTCAAAACCTAGGCTCTCTTTCGACCACGAGTACTAGAGTTGTCTACACTCAGCTTGTCCAGTGTCTCCACGCTCTCTCACTTCTCAGCTCTCCCACCTCTCCAGAATCCTCATTCACCACCATGGGCTTAAACACGCTGGGACCTTCCTAGCCTGGGCTCCTTAGGCAGCATCTGGGCCTCTTTGAGGGCTGACTCTTCCCATGGAGGACCTTTTCCCTTGCACCATTCATCGGGTTAGCCTCATCACCCCTATTCCCTCCCCTCCAGCTACTTCCCGTCCTGTCCCCTCTTGCTGTGGGCCTCACTGTCCTCTGGCCTCTCCAGAGCTCCGTCAATGGGAAGAGCAAGGGGAGCTGTTCCTGCCCCTCACCTTCCTGCTCCTGGTTCTGGGCTCCCTGCTGCTCTATCTGGCTGTGTCACTCATGGACCCGGGCTATGTGACTACGCATCCCCAACCTCAGGTAACCAGGGACCCTGAGGTCCAAACCCCTCCTTGGGCCAACAGGGAAATGAGACCTCAGAAATATGTCTGTGTGAAGCTCTGAGCTGCTTCCATTGTAGCACATATTGGTGAGACCTCTTTCCTACCCTATGTTTTTACTCCTACAAGGCCCACATGAGAACAGGTGCCTTGCAAAGGCCATCCATCAAGTGTCCAGTACTCTACTGTGTACCTACCTCCCTTCTGCATGGGATGGGCCCCAAGTCCTGCACAACCAGAACCAAGCGGCCCCTAAGAGAGATGCCCCCACTGTCATCTGCCTCCCAAGGGGACCCTTCCCCCACCCCATACCCTTTGTTTCATTTTCAGGAGGAACCGAAGGAGGAACAGACAGCCATGGTTCCTCAGGCTATCCCACTTCGACGTTGCAGATACTGCCTGGTGCTGGTGGGTGATATGCACATACTCTTGTGGGAGGAATTGGGACCAAATTAAGACTCCTTGCCCTGGTGCCCTAGCACCTTGGCCTTATCCCTCCTCCAGGAAGGCCTCCCAAATTTAGGACCTGACTGTGGCCTTCAGCCCTCTCAGAACCCACGGGGGGCGCCAGCACTGAGCCTGGACTCCTCTGTGCCCACAGCAGCCCCTGCGAGCCCGACACTGCCGTGACTGCCGCCGCTGTGTTCGCCGTTATGACCACCACTGTCCCTGGATGGAGAACTGTGTGGGTGAACGCAACCACCCGCTCTTCGTGGCCTACCTAGCACTGCAGCTGGTGGTTCTCCTCTGGGGCCTGTACCTGGCGTGGTAGGTGCATCGGGGAGTGTGGACAGCATGCATGTAGGTGCTCACCGAGCAAGGACTCCCTGGGACGCCCTGCAGTCCCCAACTCCTCCTTCCCTGTCCTCTAGGTCGGGTCTCCGGTTCTTCCAGCCCTGGGGGCTGTGGCTCCGGTCTACCGGGCTCCTGTTTACCACCTTCCTGCTGCTTTCCTTCTGCTCACTGGTGGTCGGCCTGCTCCTGGCCTCACACCTCTACCTGGTGGCCAGCAATACTACTACCTGGGAATTCATGTCTTCACACCGAATTGCCTACCTCCGCCAGCGCTCCGGCAACCCCTTTGACCGAGGTCTGACTCGAAACCTGGCCCACTTCTTCTGTGGGTGGCCCTCTGGGCCCTGGGAGACCCTCTGGGCTGAAGAGGAGGAGGAAGGCAGCAGCCAGGCTGTCTAGGCTTGCTGAAGAGAAGGCTGCCATTGTGCCTAAAAACTGGAGGCTGTGCCACTAGGGGTCAGCCCAGTTAGCCTGAGCTCTTTGCCCCTTCCCAGGCTACCAGCCCTCAGCAGAGCATCAGACAGAACCCCACACACAAGGAAGATGGAAGAAAAGGACATAAGCGGGGGGAAGTGGGGAGGGCGCGACACAAAGAGAACCCAGACTCTGCCACGACCCCTGGCCTGGCTACCTCGAATGTACAGTTTTATTAATTTAATCCTCTATAAAGGCAAGTATTAAAGACAAACCGTCCTGCTGTGGGGCCTTGCCTGCTGATCTGGGCACTGCCAAGAAGCAGAAGGGCTAGTGACACAGCCACCCAGTAACACTGAGGAAAGCCTCCAGCAGCAGCCCACGGCCACTACCTGGAACCCCACACGTTCATTAAACACCTTGGCCCTGGGCACATGGACAAGTGGCGAGTTCTTGAAATCTGGCAGAGGGAGGCAGAGGGGCCAGGAGACCCTCAGGACTCCAGGAACCGCTGAGACACAAAGTCAAAGTCCCGGAAGGCAGCCTGTTGGCGAGCGGTGAGGGAACTTTGGGGTGCCGGTGGGGTCAGGGTTGGCGGCAGGCTGGTGAACTCCCCCTCGAAGTAGCGAAGATCTGCGGGGCCACAGAGAGTAGGCACAAAGGGGGGCCGGACAGTGCGGGCAAGCAAGGCCTGCCAGTTGGTGGTCTGGAAACAAGGATGGAGGAATCTGAGAAGGTGGGAACAGCAGACCCCGGGGTCACCCAGCCCTCCCACCTCACCAGGCAATGGGAACTGCTGGGTCCTGGCCACTTACCCTGAAGAATGGCTGAACCTTGATCTCCTCTGCGTCCTGCTCTCCTGCCCCTAGACGCTTCTCTGGGCACTTCTGGAGGAGCTGGCAGGAAGCAGGGTAGGTGTGAACTCGGCATGCCACTCCAGGTGCTGGCTGCCCCACAGGTACCCTACTTAAGCCACGCCATAGGGCCCCAAGGTGGTGTCAGGAAGCACACAAATCACGAGCAGCTGCCTGGCCAAGCCCTGGACCTTGGGACTCACCTTCTGAATGAGCTCAAGCCCTTGAACGGATAGAAAGTGGGGATATGGGGCGTCTGCATTAACGATGCAATCGAACACCTCCTCTTCTGTGTCCCCCGGGAATGGGCACTGTGAAGATGGGGGCAGAGCAGGTTATGTGGGTCATCCCACTGTCCCCACCCCAGACCCTAGAAGTCCCACTTAAGGACTTACCTCACCCACTAGCATCTCATAGAGCAGCACACCCAGCCCCCACCAGTCCACAGCCCGAGTGTAAGCCTCCTGAGTCAGAACTTCGGGAGCCAGGAACTCTGGGGTGCCACAGAAGGTGCTCGTCCGGTCCCCAAATCCAATCCCTGCAAACCATCATCCACACCAATGCCTGCTTAGGTGTGGCTCACTCACTATAGCCTCTGTGGTTATAAGAATCAACAGGGGGAGGGGCCTGGAGGGATGGCTCAGTGGTTAAGTGAGGACTCAGGTTTGATTCCAGCACCCACATGGTGGCTTTGCAGCTGTAACTCCAGTTTCAGGGTATCTGAAGCCCTCTTACGGCCTCCACAGGCACTAGGCACAGACATACATGCATGCAAAGCACCCATACACATTTTTTGGAATTCCTTTTTTTTTTAATTAATATTTTTCCTGCCTAATCACAGTTTTCTCTCCTATCCCATGGCTAGCTAATATACAGGGAAGGCCTGCAATTTTCTGAAGGGAAGGGAGAGGTAGTGGATTGGAGGGGGGAGGTCAGGGGAAGGAACACACAAAAATTTTATATACCACAAAATTAAAAAATCACCAGGCAGTGGTGGCGCACACCTTTGATCCCAGCACTTGGGAGGCAGAGGCAGGCAGATCTCTGTGAGTTCAAGGCCAGCCTGGTCTACAAAGCGAGTTCCAGGAAAGGCTCCAAAGCTACACAGATAAACTGTCTCGAAAAATCAAAAAAAAAAAAAATCAAGGCCAGAGATGGAGGTGTGATTCAGTAGTAAAGTGCTTTCCTGGCATATGTGAAACCGTGGGTCAAAACTCAACAATGCAAATACATACATACATACATACATATCATATGTACGTAGATACATATTTTCTAATCTGTGCCAGCCTTTATGATACCCATTAACAAGGTCTGCTGTGTCGTGCAGACCCCCTAGGCCAAGGTCATCATGCAGCCAGTGACTGTATGAGAAAGCTAAGTCTGCTGAACCTATGTGCAAAACAAACGTCCTCTTCAGTCCTAACCATAGGTTCTCTGACCAACTACAAATTAGGAAGAGCCAGTACTCTAAGCTGTCCTCCTAAATAAGGGTCCCAGTTGGGAATAAAGGCCAGAGGCTGGAGAACCTGGGTGCCCATGAGTGGGTTGACTTCCGGCTGGCCTGGGCAAGACAAGCGGATGTGATTCCAGGAGGGGGGCCCACCTTCCTTGCACAGTCCAAAGTCCGCAATCTTCAGGAAACCCTGGGCATCCAGAAGTAGATTATCCAGCTTCAGATCCCTGATGGCAGAGGGCTGCAGATCAAAGGGGCTGAAAAGGGCTGAGGCCCAGCAGCACAGGGGAGGGGCAATGGGGCAATGGCCCACCCAGGTCCACCCTAGTATCTCTCAGGCAGAGACTACCTGTAAATGATCCTCTTCTCATGTAGGAACTGCAGCCCCAGGACCACACAGGCCAGGTAGAAGCTGAGGGGTAGTACAGGGATGTTCAGGCCAGGCGCTAGGAGGCACCAGGAGGTCCTGGCCAGATTCAGGCATGGATGAGACCAGACAAATAATACGGTGCCTGGGCTAGAAGGGCCCAGAGTCATCCTGATGTTGTCATATATTAATGACCGATCCTTCCTGGGCTTAACTATGCAGGACCACTGGGTCCAGTAGTATAGACCTGTGATCCCAGCTACTTGGGATGCTGAGGCTGGAGGGTAGGAATTTTGAGGCTAGTCTGGTCTACAAAGTAGAACCCGCTTTCAAAAAACAAACAGAAAAGGAAACATAGAGGGCTGGGCATGTAGCTCAGTGGTAGAGCACTTGCCTGGCATACACTAAACCCTGGTTCAGTGCTCTGTATGGGTATCTCCCCAGCAGCCTGTGGAGGATAACCATCACGACTTTTACTCAAATCAGGATCTGGGAGGCTGGAGAGATGGCCCAGGATTTAAGAGAGAGTGTTACTCTTGAAGATGACCTGAGTTTGGTTCCTAGAATCAGATTCCTACATCAGGTGGCTCACAACTGCCCATCATTCCAGCTCCAGGATATCTGGCACCCTCTTCTGGCCTCCAAGGGTTCCTGCACTCATGTGCACACGGCCATGCACAGCCACACATACAATCAAATGAGGATCTGAGACTTGACTCAGGGTCATACACCCAGTATGACACTCAGTTCAGAACTGATGCGCTGAGTCAGATTGCTCTAAGCAGAGCAGGCACGGGAGCATGGCACGCAACTCCAGCTGCCATCCTGTGCTGAGCAGTTTGCAAGCATGGCCTTCATCCCTGCAAACTTATGAGGACAGATCCCATCCACAACTATGCGGACAGAACCCCCATGTGCTGTAAGAGTTGCACCAAGGCTCCTCCAACCCGGTGCTACTTGTCTGCTGGGTACCTCCTACCCCAAGGGAGCAAGCGCCAAGTAACCAGGGGACCCACCAGGCCTGGGGCTCAGGAAAGATGTCCTCGTGGATCTGCATCATGAGGTCTCCTCCAGGCACAAACTCAGTAACAAAGCAGGCATGGCTAGAGGTCTGGAAGCAGGCAAAGAGGGACAGCAGGAAGGGGTGTCCTGTGTGACCCACAGCCTCCAGGATCCGCTTCTCACAGTACAGGCTGCAAGGGAGGATGGGATGGATGGGATGGAACCTCCATGGGCTGTGCCCTGACACCCACATGTAGCATGAATCTTAAAAGTTCTTATTACTACGTGGAGTGGCCTTAATAATTTCACCAATACCCACACAGCACCTCTGCTTGGATGGGTCCTCAAAGAGCTAAGGAGGTAAGTTGATGGTCTGCACATGGGGAAGGTTTAAAACCATCAAAACTAGACGTGTGGTGGCGCACGTTCTTAATCCCAGCATCGGGAGGCAGAGGCAGGCGGGATCTCTGAGTTCTAGGCCAGCCTGGTCTACAGAGCGAGTTCCAGGACAGCCAGGGCTACACAGAGAAACCCTGTCTTTAAAAAACAAAACAAAGCCGGGCGGTGGTGGCGCACGCCTTTAATCCCAGCACTCGGGAGGCAGAGCCAGGCGGATCTCTGTGAGTTCGAGGCCAGCCTGGACTACCAAGTGAGTTCCAGGAAAGGCACAAAGCTACACAGAGAAACCCTGTCTCGAAAAACCAAAAAAAAAAAAAAAAAAAAAAAAAAACAACAAACCTTCAAAACTATCACAGTCCTATTTATAAAAGAGCAACCCAAGGTGCTAAAAGATGTGAGAGCTTTCCCAGTGCCAAAAAGAGAACCTGAACCTGGCCTCTGGGATCTTGAGCTGCCTTCTGGAACCCAGGCTAATCACCCAAGTGTCCCTCCAGGGTCAGCTACGTCTCAATTATACACACCTGTCAATCTCGTCCCGGCCCAGCACTTCCTGCTTCTTCAGAGCCTTGACAGCATAGTACTTTCCTGTTCCTTTGTACTGGACCAGGAGGACCTGGGGACCGGAAAGAGTTGGGCTCCAGATGGGCAGGACAGAGAGACCTCACCTCCCTATCCTGCACCCCCACATCCCAGCACCTCCTAGCTAATGTGCTGAGGCTCACCCACCCACCAACTCCACTGCGCTATCCTCAACCCGCTACCTTCCCGAAGTGTCCCCTGCCCAGTACAGCCAAGCATCGGAAGTCCTGAAGTCGGGGGGGTTTCCTGCAAGAGAGAAAGAGCACAAGGAGCGGGACAGGACCAAGGTCAGGCCTTCCTGTCACAGCCTAGGCTGTCCCCACAGCTGGAATTTAAAAACTGCACTCAGCACATAAGGAAGGCATTGAGCAAGCCAGTTTGTGTACTCAAGGAGCCAGGGAGTGAGGTGTCAATCAGTATGTACAATGAGTGAGTAAGTGATGGTGCACACTTGTGATCTCAGCACTCAGACCACAGAGACAGGAGAATCACAAGTTCAAGGCCAGCCTGGGCTACACAGTAAAGCCTTATTTTTAAAAGAGTAAGTCTCAAGGAAGTGAAATGGCTTAAATTCCATGCCTAGGATCCTCTTTAGAAATGCCAGGCGTAGTGACTGGCTCACATCTGAAACTCCAGCCCCCGCACCCTAAGGTGAGACGGGAGGTGGAAATGAAGTTCAAGTATGTGAGCAGCAAGCACAGTAGCGAAGCAAGGAGGCCCTGCCTCAAGAACGAAGGGGACTGAGGACGGCCTCCCAAAAAGCTGTGCTCTGCCTTCTACATGGGTCCGTGTGTGCGTGCAGGCACACACAAGCACAATCCTTAAAAAAACAAATCCAAGTCTCTAAATGAATGCAAGCCAGTGAGTACCTGGTGGGTGAGGCCGCCAGGGTGGGCACTATTCCAGTTCTAGGGTCCATGTGGGGGCGTTTGGTACACTGTGAGGACAGTGGGGTTCAGGACAGAGCTGACATGCTGGCCCTCTTTCCCTCCTCCCCCAGCCTCTGGGTCTGCCCCCACCTCCAGAATCTCTTACAGGAGTGTCCCGGGCTGGTTCTTGGGGCAGATAGAGACGAGGGGGTTTGGGTGGAGGCTTCATGTCTTCTCCCGAGAGGGTCTTCGTGGGCAGGAAATTACTGTCAGAAGAAGGAGATGTCTGAGCTGGGACAGATGGAGGTGGGAGGGGCATGGCCATGGGAAGGGACAGAGAAGAGTGAGCCAGAGATCACAAAACATTCACACGCAGAGCCTGGATGGATGGGACCTGCAGGCGGCTCACCTGGGGGAAGCAGAATTGGAGGTCCCAGAGGCCGCAGTTGGGGGACACCCTTTAGGGGGACTGACTGTGCTTGGTGAGCTGCAGGGGGGCAGCAGGCTCATGACCAGGCGTCCCCAGGCTGCCATGCTGAGGTTCATCTGGGAAGCCCTCAGGAAGTCCTGGCCTAGAGGAGGCAGATAGGGCTCAGTCCCACCATCCCAATGGTCAGCCTCGCCCTCTCCTCACAGTCCCCACCCTCCATACCTCTACGCTTAGAGAAAATGCGTCTCTGCCTCTGTAGCCGAGGCCTCCTTTCAATGACAGGGTCACAGAAGGTTACCTAAAGGGACGTGAACAGAGCTGAAGACCTGGACTGGCCATCCTCCACCCTACCGGCTAGGCCCCAAGCACCCAGCTCTCAATCTCAACCAATGGAGGTACCCTAGTTAGCTCTAACTGTCAACATGACACAGCCAGAACCATCTGAGAGGAACTGCTTAGATCACATGGCTTGTGGGCATGTCTGGGGAACTGTCTTGATCGTTAGTTGAGACAGGAGGGTCTAGCTCCCTGTGGGTGGCACCATCCATAGACAGTTGGCACTGGGCTATATAAGAAAGCTAGCCAGCCGGGCCGTGGTGGTGCACGCCTTTAATCCCAGCACTCGGGAGGCAGAGCCAGATGGATGTCTGTGAGTTTGAGGCCAGCCTGGTCTACAGAGCAAGATCCAGGACAGGCACCAAAACTACACAGAGAAACCCTGTCTTGAAAAAAAAACAAAAAACAAAAACACCCACAAAAACAAAACCAAAAAAGCTGGCCAAGCATGAGCTTGTGAGGGAGGCCGAGAGCAGGCCAGCAAGCAGGGTTCCTCCTTGGTTTCTGCTTTGAGTTCCTGCTTAAGGTCCTGCCCTGACTTCAAGACAGGCTGGAAATCTGTAAATTGAAATAAACCCTTTCCTCCCAGAAGTTGCTTTTGGCCAGTGTTTTTATCACAGAATGACACTAGTATGAGAGGCAAAACAAAGGACCCAGAGAATACCACACATCCTCATTGGTGCCAGTGGAGAAACTGAGGCCCAGAAAAGAGGCACTTATTCAAGGTGACAAATGAGCCAGGACAATGTCAGGGGAGAGACGTGAGCCTCTCTGCAGCCCTGTCTGTGGAACCATCTCCATTCCTCAGCTCCCACACTTCTGTGGGGTGCCAGTCTGTACACACACACACACACACACACACACACACACACACACACACACACACACGCAGGTGGAGGATGACACGGAGTATCTGCCTTTCCACCTTATTTTTTGAGACACGGCCTCTCACTGAACCTGGAACTCACTGTTTCAGCTAGACTGACTGGTGAGCAGGCCTCGGGATCCAGCTACCTCTGTATGACCAGCAGTGACATCTACAGACAAGCACCACTACACCTAGTTTTTACACGGATGCTAGCGATTTTGCACACAGCAAGCACATTTTACCCCCTGAGCCATCTCCCCACCAAAGTGTCAGTCCTAAAGACCCTCTGTTAGAGGTCAAGGGTCAGTGGGAACCTGGGCAAAGAGCCTTCCTTGCGGCACCAGGCTGAGAGAAAGCTGGTGACACGTGTTGTCCAGGAAGTCCTCAAGCTTCAGGAAGGCCACGCCACACAACTGCCGCCAGTCCCGCCAGTGAACCCCGATCTCCAGCTCCCGTGCCTGTGTGGGGGAGACCAGGCTAAGGAATGGGGTGTGGCATCAGCCGCGCGTGAGTGGTCTCCCTCCCTGCGGCCCCTGGCTATCCCTGACCACACAAAGGCCGGCCTTACTCGATCCAAGGAGATGTTAAAAGCCTGGTCCCAGGATTTCTCGGCCACCTGTCCCCATCCTGTCTGACCCACAACACGGTTGTCAACCTTCAGTACAGCCAGTACCTCACCTGTAGTGCCAAGGCTGGGATTCAGAGCATGTTCAGAGCGGGGACCCCCAGTCCCTTCCATGGTTCCTCCCTACTCACTGGCCAGTTCTCCTCCACCACGCTGCTGCCTGGACCTGGTTCGGCGCCAGCCCTCAGAGGCACTGCCTGCCAGGACAGCCATGGGAGACCGTCCAGGTACAGCTGCCAGCAGCTGTTCACAGCCCAGGAGGTGAACCTGCAGGGTGCCTGGTCGGGAGTCGGGAGGGCACTTTGTCAGAAGCCACCCCCAACGGGCCATGGGACCCCCGAGGGATACCACTTGCTCTAGGAGGGTTAGAGTTAGGATTAGCTGATGCAAACCCTATCCACACTAGGCCTTGGTATCCACCCCTCATCCTCAGCAGCCCTCCTAGCTCTCCCTCCCGGGTGCCTGTGCCGCGGCAGGACACAGCAGACCTCCCCCAGAGCTGTGTGGAACCACAGGTTGGGGTAAGCTGCTGCCCTGAGCACAAGGCCTGGAGAGCACCGCGGCCTCAAGTGCACAGGGGCAGGCCCGGGAGCCTGGGAGCAGGAGCAGCTCCAGGGATGCCTTCCCCATTTGTTCCTGTCTGAACAGTGAGGGAGAGTCCCGAACAGGAACAAAACATGTTTTGTCTGAGATCACTGAGAGGAAGCAGGAACCCCGGAGCCCCTGAGGGCACACAATGCGTCTGGGAAGACCTTTTTGGTGGGCTGGACCTGGGGGTAATACTTGGAGAACTTACAGAGACCCCAAGTGTGGTGTCCAGGCAGGATACTCACCTTAGGAGATGGATGCTCAGCCATGAACTAGGATATGTGGTTTTGGGTCTTGTTTTTAGATAGGATCTCGTCAGCCCAAGTTGGCCTCAAACTCAGTCTGTAGCTAAAGATGCCCTTGAACTCCTGATCCTCCAGCCTCACTTCCCAAGGGCTTAGATTATAGGTGTGTGTGGCCATACCCAGTTTATATGATGCTGGGGATCGAACCCAGGGCCTAGTGCATGCCAGGCAAGAACTCTACCAACTGCCTCCCATGGCTACAGCCTTGTCTCAAACCTTTGCCTTTAAACAAGCAGTTCCCTCTGTCTTCCCCAACTCACTGACTTGACCATAAGCATGCCCACGAGACCTCCAAGTTCAGACTCCACCTCTTCTAGGGAATCCTCTGATGACCCACGACCAGTGAAAGGCCCACCAGGAGCAGGGCCCTGTCTAGTCCCACCCCATCCACTGTGCTCTGCAGCAGGCACCATCTGGGCTGGGGCTCGCAGCTTAGGTGATTTATTGACTGTCAGCTACTGCTACAAGGAGACAGATAGGAAAGACCTTTCTGGCCTGGTGGTGGTGGCGCAGGCCTTTAATCCCAAACTCAGGAGACAGAGGCAGGCGGATCTCTGAGTTTGAGTCCAGCCTGGTCTACAGAACGAGTTCCAAGACAGCCAGGGCTACACAGAGAAACCCTGTCTGGAAAACAACCAAAAACAACAACAACAACAAAAAACCCTCAAAAACCAAAGAGAGAGAGAGAGAGAGAGAGAGAGAGAGAGAGAGAGAGAGAGAGAGAGAAAGGAAAGATCTAACTTTGTGGAAGCCCATGCTGCCCAGGCCTGGCTCCAAGGCCGACAGGGGAGTGTGCCGACTAACACTGTACTCCAACTTATGGTCACTTGTTTAAATTACATCACACTGGCCAAACCCTGACTGTACTCGGTGCTGAAGGATCAAAAGTTAGAGGATTTACAAAGCAATCCACAAGTCAGTGCTCATAGTGTTTCTAGCCTTCCTTTGTTTACTTAGAGACAGGGTCTCACTCTGCAGCTCTGGCTGTCCTGGAACTCACTCTGTAGACCAGGCTGGCCTGGAACTCACAGAGATCCTCCTGCCTCTGCCTCCTGAGTGCTGGAGTTAAAGCCATGACCACCATGCCTGGCTACTATCATTTCTGTTACAGATGGATAAACTGAGAACCAGAGTGGGAATGTCAGCTATCCAAGCTCACACAGCAGGACTGAACTCTTTCCCACAGTACTTCAGGGTCCTCTCCAAAAGGTAAGGGGCTCCCTGAAGTGAGAGGGAACCCTTTGGACCTACCTGTCAGGGCAATAGGTTTCACAAGTGTCCCCAAAGGCTGGGGGTTCCCGAGCACAGCCATCCGCAGCTCTCGGGTCACCCTGCTGCGCAGGGAATGGGTGGGCGGCAGCCTCTCCAGCAGTGACTCCAGGGCCAGTCTCAGGAGGTCCAGCTTCTGGGAGGACTCCTGGAGCTGGGCCTGGGCCTACAAAGGAGACGCAGATAGAGACAGCCATGCGGCCCGGGTTGAAGGGACAGATGATGCCTTGTGGTTCTTCACCGCCACCCTACCCAGGCAGCAAGCCCTTGGTGCCTGGCACCACTGCAGGGCGGACAGAGATAAGCAGAGCTGTAGGAAGAGCAGATCTCTATGATCTGCCTGGTCTACAGAGTTCCAAAATAGCCAAGACTACAAGACTAACCAGAGAAACCCTGTCTTAAAAAAGAAGAGCAGTGGTCCAGGGGACACAGTCTGACCTCGGCCAATGCCTTGCGGTCCTGCATTCTCTGGCCACCAAGCAGCTTCACCACGTTCTTGGCTCCTGCAGCCACAGCGGCCTCGATTCGCAGGCGGTGCTGCAGCTCCTCTGCTAGCAAGTCAGGGCCTGCAGGGAGGAGGCACCCTTAGCCCTGGCCACCGGGTGCCGCCCTCCCTGCCTTGAGAGGCCTCACCTGGCTCTGGAGACCCGCTGGCCTCCAGGCTGCTTATCTTCATTCGGAGTAGGGCAACCTTCAGTTGGCTATCCTTCAGCATCTGCTGGGCAGCCGCCAGGAGCTTCCTTTCCTGCAGGGATGTGACACTCGCCCCATCATATCAGGGCTATGGCAGGTCACCAGGACCTGGAGTTGAGCTCCCCCTGCTATACCAAGGTTCAACCCCTACAAGGAAGCCACTACAGAGGAGGCTCCCTGTTGAACTAGGTGACGGGGTAGGGGCTGGGGGTGAGCAGAGCCTGACTCCTATCAGTTTGATAAGCTAAGTGTTACGGCGTCCTGTCAGACGGAGCACAGAGGGTAGAGGCTGAGAGTTGAACCTGGCAGCTGGGTGAATATTCTGCTAGACTGCTGTTGGGCCTTTACGATAGAGTGGATTGGAACCTTGCGTCACCTGACCAACTAGGATTTAGGGCTGTACTTCCACCATTAGACGAAGGACTGGGGCTGGGTAGCATTTCCCTCTTGGCACACGGCCTGGCACTGTACTAACACCTGAGAGCTAGATCTCTCCCACCAGCTCAGAAGCCAGGCTGTGCCTCCAGTCAGGCCCCAGCACTTACCTTGGGGGTGCCGCTGGCACACGTGTGGATCATGTTCTCAGCCCCTTGCTTTACCTTCAGCTCCACCTGCAGCTGCCTCTGTAAAACCTCCAAGTGCCGGGCCCTTGCCTGCTCTGCCCGCGGCCGGGGTCCTGAGGCCACTGGCTCTGCGGAAAGAAGGTAGGGGGTGCATGATCCTGCCACCAGAGTCCAGACCTCTGTAAAGAGGCTCTCTCTTCCCTTCCTTCCTGGCCTTGTCAGCAACATGGAAGATACAGGGAGGTCAGGTGGTCTTACCCAGTGGTCACAGCCAAGGCCAGATCAGGGTGTCCATGAATCTCCTATTCCCTGGGGTCTGTGCAGACTTCTCACTCACCGGCTGAGGTTGGCAGCAGAACTTGGGCATGCAACTCCCGAAGCTCGCCATGCAGCTGCTCCAGGCGGCGGTTGGAGGCCCTCAGCAGCTGCTGCACATGGCCCAGGTGGCGCCGGTCTGTGGCCACACGCCGCATGTTTTCCATGCCCTCCTTGATCTTCAACTCCTTCTGGATAGCCCGACGGATCATCTCTTTCTCATCCTCAGGGGGCCTCTGGCCAGTGCCAGGCTGCAAAAGGGCAGGGAAGTCATAGCCCACCCCCCTCCAAGGGGGAAAGACACAGCAAGCCGAGCTCTGGGTGTCTCAGAACGCTGCTGCGGTGTCTAGCTCTTGTCTTCCTTTCAGAGAAGGGAGAGAGATGACAGATCAGGTTCCCAGGATGCTCTCTGGGTACTGAGTTCCAGACCACAGAGCTCTAACAACACTGAATCCCCTTCCCCTCTGCAGCAAGCACTCTTTCGAGGTACTGGGGAAAGAACCCACAGCCTGGAGCATGCTAACAAGCAAGAGCTCCACCACAGAGCCACATGCTTGGTTCCCACTCCCGTTCTACACAGGCGCAAAGAACAAAGAGGGTGAGCGGCTTGCTCACAGAGGCAACACCGAGAAGGGACCACTGTGTGTTGAGGGACAGTGACCCCATTCTCTCCTAGTCATACTGCTTTCTCTAGATCTGAGAACCAAGTGCAATATGGGAGGTAATGCAGGTAAGGAATTTACTCAGGGTCGCATGCAGGAGGCAGCCAGTGGCCCAAGACACCAACACTTGTTTCCTCTGCCTTAGTGTGGTAGGCAAGTGATGAAACGGAGCTGCCAAGGAGCTGAGGAGGTCTGGGCGGCTCAGCTCTGGCAGGAAAGAAAAGACCCCCTCAACTGTTCACCAGGTTAGAGGCAGGAGAGGAAACCTCCCTCTCAGAGGCTGACCTCAGCCCAGGCAACCTGCTGGCCCCCTCCCATCCCAAGGATCGCGGCAGCCACCCTATTTTATTCCTCTTACCTCTCTGTGTTCCATCTCCCGAGCCCCATGAAAGAATGGCTACTCAGTTTAGGGGCCCCCCAACCCCCCAACTCCAGGCCTCAGCTAGGCTGGCTGGCTCTGCCTTAGCTGTCAGAGGGTGAGGGCGAGGGCGAGGCTCAGGAAATCCTTTGACCGCCCCAGGCAAGAAGGCCAGAGCCAAAGGCCTGAGCAAACAAAGCTCCCCCAGAGCTAGGGGCCTGCTGGCCACCAGGGTCCTGAGTCACCCCGCTGCTGCCACAGGGCGGAGGCTCACAGGAAATCGGAAAATGTGTACAAGTCACTGCTAAACAGGCCAAGAGGGATCTCTGGAGGAAGGGTACCGGGAGGGGCGAGATTCAGCCTTGCAGGCTGCCTGAACCCTTGAGGTGCTCATATCTACACGTCTTGACTTGGTACTGGATGCCATCTTGTACATAAATATCCCGCTCCACCTCTAACTGCCCTGAGGTAGGACACTACCTCTCTCCCCTTTACATCTAACCCAAACCCCTCCACATTGTGGACCCTTCGGTGGACCCGAGGATTCCCTGCGCATTGCTGGGCCAGGTGCCTCTGGTGGGAAAGTGTTCTTGCCCGTGGGTGTAATGTGTTGGGGACAACGCCCACCAAGAGCTCAGTCCCGTCCTCCCCAACGCAAGCATCCCCCTCCCCCCGCCGCCGCCCCAGACTCCTCTTGGAGGGCCGGGACCCCAACCTCTGCGCTCCCGGCACATTGCACCCGCCTGAAAGTCTCTAGAAGACTGATTTTTAAGGAACTTGAGACCCAGCCTGATGGCACATTCCACGTTTTCAGGCATGCTGCCGGGCTGGATCTCCGTCACTCTGGGGACCAGAGAGTGTTAACCCAGGGCTCAGGTCCCGCCCCGCGCAGGGGTCACCAGCAGAGGCCGGAGTAGGGTGGAGACGCAAGCGTGGGGTGCTCTGAGCTGCAAACGCGGCCGCTGCGCGCGCTCGGTTCACCTGGCGCGCCGCCCCATTCTGCTCCATGGCGCCGCGCCGGCCAGTCCTCTCCTTCACCACTATGGTTCCGGAAGCCCGGGCCTCTGCGCCGGACTTTCAAACTTGAAACTTCCCGGGAAGCGGCGCGGGACACGCGGGATAGGGCGCCCCCTCCGGAGACCGGCGCGCCCGGCGGGTGCTGGAGAGCAGCGCCCCCTCCCGGCTGCGAGGGAGCAGCGCCCCGGACCCCACTCCCGAGTTCGGCTCCGCGGATCCCGGGTCCCCTTCCTGCCTTAGCGGCTCACACTCTGCACCACAGCTGATCTTCCTAGAGTTGGGAAGTCCGGGGACCATTTCTACTCCAGCTTTACCGGCAGCGCGCGCCGGGGGAGCCTGACCCGATGCGGAGTAAACCTTGATCCAAATTATGGCCAGATACAAGTAAGATATGAACCAACTCAGGCTCGTTATGAAATGAGTTTGCTGACTCAGCGGGAGCCAAGCTTCTGACTTTACCATAAGGAAGTCCGTAGCGGCTAGGGAGGGAGTTCAGTAAAGTGCTTCAAGGCAAGCTCACAGATTCGATCAATTCCCACCCAGTATCTATAGTTTTTTTTAAGGGGCCAGGAGAGTCCTCTCAGGGTGGGTGGGTTTTGCCCTGAGCACAGAGAGCGGGGTGCTTGCCCATGAGATGGCGAGGGGGTGGTGTGTGGAAGGGGGTGTTGAAGACCCTGTGTGCGTGGAGAGGGCCAGATTGAACTGGTTGGCATTGTCCAAGCCTTCAATCCCAGGATTTGAGCGGCAGAGGCCGGAAGATCTTCTGTGAGTTCAAGGCCAACCTGGTCTACAAAATGAGTTCCAGGACAGCCAGGGCTGCATAGGGAAACTGTCTTGAAAAACCAAAACCAATAAAAAGTGTGTGCCTCAACATACCAGGTAGGGGGCAACTTTCATCTTTTTTTTTTTTTTTTAATTGTGATTTTGTTTTCTTTTTGAGGCAGAGTTTCCCTGGGTAGTCCTTGCAGTTCTGGAACTAACCTGCAGCCCAGGCTGGCCTCAGGGAGTCAGGATGGAGAGTCCCTGAACTCTCCATCTTCCTGTGCTGAATTACAGGTGTGTGTCACTGGGTTTTGTTGAGCCGAAATCTTTTTGTTTGTTTGTTTGTTTTTACAGGGTTCCTCCATGTAGTCCCTCATGCTTACCTGGAGTTGCTGAGTGTTACAGTTCACCAGTTAAGAGGGTGTGGTGGCACATGCCTGTAATTCCAGCACTCAGGTGGTTCTTGAGCCTCCATCTCAATAAATAAATAAAGTAAAAATTGGGACTACTGCTATTCCTCAGAAGCTAAGCAAATAATCTGATTCAGAACTCTCCTTTGAACCAGTGGCTCCATGTGTAAAGGAGTTTTGCTGCCAGTAATGAAGGCCCTGAACCCAGATGGTGTGAAGAACCAACTCACACAAGCATCCTTTGACCCTCACGAATGCACAAATTCTTCTTTTTTTTTTCCCCGAGACAGGGTTTCTTTGTGTAGTCTTGGCTGTCCTGGAACTTGCTGTTGACCAGACTGGCCTCAAACTCAGAGATCCTCCTGCCTCTGCCTCCTGAGTACCTGGATTACAGGTGTGTGCACCACCATTGCCCGGCTTTTATTCACTTTTTAAAAACTTGTAATACACGCTGGGCGGTGGTGGCGCACACCTTTAATCCCAGCACTTGGGAGGCAGAGGCAGGCAGATCACTGTGAGTTCAAGGCCAGCCTAGGCTATAGAGTGAGTTCCAGGAAAGGCGCAAAGCTACACAGAGAAACCCTGTCTTGGAGGGGGAAAAAAATGTAATACGCAAGCCTTTAACCCCAGTACTGGGGAGGCAGAGGCAGATAGATCTTTTTTAGTTTGAGGCCAGTCTGGTCATAGTTTCAAGACAGCCAGGGAGAGACCCTATAACTAAAAAAAAAAAAAAAAAGTTTGACTTGGCGATGGTGGTACATACCCGTAATATCAGCACTGGCTGATGCTAATGGGAGCCCCAGGCTAATCAGAGATGCATAGTAAAGCACCATCTCAAAAATAGCCAGGCATGGTGGCACATGCCCTTAATCCCAGCACTTGAGAGGCAGAGGCAGGTAGGTCTCTGAGCTCAATGATAGCCTTGTCTACAGAGTTCCGGGGTAGCCAAGGCCACAGAGTAAACAACACTGTTTGTACATGTGACTGCAGCCCCTATCCCCACTCCCAGGGATTGACGGGATGCCCTGAAGTAGTTTACATGTAAAAGCTTCTGTACCTGGGTGCTCTTTGCTTCCTTCTGTGCTGCTGGGAGTCAAGTGCTGGATTTTGCACCACATCCTTGGCAAGCCAATGAAGCGAATCCCCACCCCTCTATATAATACTGCTTCAAAACCACTGGTCTACCTCCTTCCCCAGGAAGCTGAACGAGGTGCCTCACATGCAGGGAAGGAGTTGTGAGGGAGCAGGATCATTAAGGCCCAGCTGCACCTGTCTGATGAACTTTGCTCAAATTCTCAGGCAGAGACTGCATGCCCAGCTTTCAGCATGAAACTACACAGCTAACGTAAGCTTAGGATAAGTCAGCTTCTCCACAGGATACATCTTCCCAGCTGTGCTTCTCCTCACGAGTGCAGCTGTGTTAGGTCTCCATGCAGACATCACCGGGTCAAGCTGGTAAACAGCCTACAATTGGTGGGATTCTCATCTAATCACAGAACTAACCACAATCCATTAGACTGATAGCAATTAAATTTGAGCTGCAGATGGTAGAACATGTCTTTAATCTCAGCACTCAGAAGACAGATCTCTGAATTCCAGGCCAGCCTGGTCTACATAGCAAATTGCAGGAATAGCCAGCTAGGGCTATAGACCCTACTTAAAAATAAACAAACCAGGGCTGGAGAGATGGCTCAGGGGTTAAGAGCACTGGCTGCTCTTCCAAAGGTCCTGAGTTCAATTCCCAGCAACCACATGGTGGCTCACAACCATCTGTAATGAGATCTGGCGCCCTCTTCTGGCCTGCAGGAATATGTGCAGTCAGAACACTGTATACACACATAATAAATAAATAAATCTTAAAAAAAAAATAAAATAAAATAAACAAACCAGGCCGGGCAGTGGTGGCGCACGCCTTTAATCCCAGCACTCAGGAGGCAGAGGCAGGCGGATCTCTGTGTGTTTGAGGCCAGCCTGGTCTACAGAGTGAGTTCCAGGTGAGGAGCAAAGCTATACAGAGAAACCCTGTCTCGAAGAAAGACAAACAAAAAAACCCAGAAATCAACCACCCACCTTACCCTAATTTTTATTTTATTTATTTGTTTGTTTATTTATTTGGTTTTTCGGGACAGAGTTCTTCTATATCGTTTTGGTGCTTGTCCTGGATCTTGCTCTGTAGACCTGGGCTGGAACTAACAGAGATCTGCCCGGCTCTGCTTCCCAGTGCTGGGACTGAAGGCGTGTCCCACCACTGCCCAGCTCACCTTCCCCTAATTTAAATAGGGTGTCTATGTGTGCTTTAGAGATGGCTTGGTGATGGTGATTACAAGCATTTATGTACCAGAAGTCCAGACTTTGGAGCCTATCACCCCATATCAAATTCCAGCTCAGAGGATCCAGTGCCCTCTTTTGGTCTACAAGGGTGCACGCACACATACCGCATACATACACTCAGATATATCATACACATGAAGTAAATTTATAAACAGCACACATATACAGAATAACTTTTTAAAATATTTTTTTGTTATAGATGTTTTGCCTCTATGTCTGCACCATGTGCATGCAGAGGCCGGAAGAGTGACATTTGACGCTTCAGTATCAGAGTCACTGATGGTTGCTGGTAGTTCTGTGGGTGCTGAGAACTAAACGAAGGTCCTCTTAAACTCTAACTAAGCCCATCTCCAAAATTAAAACTTCCATATCCACGGGCTATGTTCTGGTAGTCTTGGAACTCTCTGTAGACCAAGCTGGCCTCAAACTCAAGAGATGAGCCTGCCTCTGGCCCCTAGCATGCCCTGTCCCAGGCTATGCTCTAAAGGGAATGCCACTGCTGAGTAACTGTCATTTCCTTTGAATTCACCGCAGGGGTGGGAAGCAGCTCACTGGCTTGACTATCTGGTGGACCCTGAACTGATGCATGGGACAGAAGATACCTATTTCCAGGAAGTTCTGTGCTGGCACAGTGGGTCTAACACATGATAGGCAAGCACCCTACCATTGACCTATAGCCCCAACACCACCACCCCCCCTTCTTTTGAGACAGGATCACTCTCCTGGAACTCATTTTGTGTGTCAAGCTGGCCTGGAACTAACTCAACATGCCTAGCTCCAGAATGCTGGGATAAAAGGTGTAGGCCACCACACCCAGTTAAGTATTTTAAAACAGTAGTTAAGAAACTGTAACTGCAGGATGATCTAATAACATTCTTTAAGGTTTTCAAATGCAGTCTAGGCCTCAGTAGCTAATAAGTAGTGACTTCTTGTAAAACAGTATGGCCCACTTTGTTAGTCCTCTCCTGTATCATACACCCGCTAAGGCCAGCCCAGAAACCCTCTTAAATAGATGTAAAGCACAGCTAAGCCCAGGAAACTGTTAGGTTCTCATCCCAATCCTCAAAATCCTATGTTCAAAGAAAACAGTGACAATATCTAGGGTCAAATTATTACCTTCAAAGGCCCCAAAACTTGATCCCAGCCCCCAGAATATCATTAAGGACCTAATTAGACATTGTAACTGATGCCTGCAGTCCCACTTGGAAGGCAGAATCACTGTGGTCAACTTCAACACACCTCCAGAAAAATGAAAAGGGCTGGAACACTGGCTACCCTTCCAGAAGACCAGGATAACTCCAGACCCAGGGAATCCCAACACACTCTGCTGGCCTTCCAGAGAAAAGCTCCTGTTGCAGACATACATGTAAGCAAAATACTCATACACATAAATAAAACTAGTTCCATGGTCTCATGCACACTCTACCTTTCTGAATCCTGGAGCCACAGGAATATTCTGCCGTAACTAGCTTTCTATAGACCTCCCCCTCACAAAGACCTGGAATCTAGACACCGGGGAAACTCAGTGATACCTGTCTGCAAACGAAGAGGAGACACCCAGAGGCTAGCTAACGGGGAGTGATCACAAAAACACATGGTACATATGTAAAAATAAGGTAGAGCACACTAGTTAAAAAAAAAATGGTAAAAGGAGTACGGGCCATAAGCTCTTAGTGGTACAGTCACAATTTAAAACAGCATGCATGCACACTCACCACCACCACTTGATTCCCGAAGTCAGGATTCACCAAGTACAGGTGAGCACCCTCCTCAATCACCAAGACTCTCCAGAGTCACACAACAAAGTGTTTATGGATCTGGTACATACCTCCACCTTTGGTATACTTGTACCTGGGCCATAATTACCAAATGAATAGCCCCAGTACCCCCAGTCATTAATATACCTTCTAAATCTCTACAAAACAAGGAGAATGACCCCAGTCCAAAAAAAATCTTTATGTTCCTTTATTGGAGCAAGATTCCTGACGTATACAGTGATGTATTTACTAAACAGAGTCCTGTGCAGAAATTACACACTATCCATCTAGACAGATTTTGGTTACACTTTGCCTATTGATGGATTAGTTCCATTTATAAAGTTTTATACATCAAAAAGCTTTGAATTTGACCAGGCTGTCCATTAATCATCTCTGAAAAAGTGGCATTTAATTTTAGCTCTATTTTACAGCATTAAAAAGCTTATGCATCAGGTAGCTTCCCAAAACATTATTTTCTGCACAATGGCGTGGAGCAGAGCTCTTCATCCACCCAGATTCAGAGTCACAGCTGAGAGCTTCTGCTACATACCTGGGACAGAGCACTCTCGACCACCCCATGGACTGCATACTCTGATAGCCCACTTCCTTGGCCAGTTCATACTGCCAGTGAAGACACACCAGCAGCTGTCCTTCGTACAGATGGCATTAGAGTAACGATCTGTGACACGGTGGGAGCAGGTGCTGTCATGATATCCAGGTAACTAAAGGCCCATTTAAAAAATGCCAAATTGAGATAAAAATCAAGGGTACAAGTCCATTGCAGCAAACTGTACCCACATCACTCAGTTACGGAGACATTAAGACATGATTCAAATCCCTTTAACTCAAATCTGCATAGCCCTGAGGTCATCTTGCAAAGTGCGTATCAAAAAATACGAAGTTAGGGAGACAAAGTTTGACATGATGTCATTATGCAGGTCAAACTTGGAAGGTCATGTTGAGCATCTGTTCTGACAGAAAAGCATCGGGTCCTTTGTGTACACATTGGTTTTATTGTAACAAAGCAACTTGTACACTTCAACATTTAAAATGAGCATTTTTCCTTCCAGTGAAAACCAAAAAAAAAAAATAAAAAATAAAAATTAAAAATAAAGTTACAACAGAGAATGTCAACTCCAAATAAAACCCTACAGGTTCTGCTGATTCTCCCATTGAGTGGCAGGGCTCAAGTCATCGTTAGGAGAGAATTTTATTTAAAAGTGTCATCTTAAACTGCAAGGATGTCCGTTAAACATCACAATCAAACATGCCAAAGGAGAAGCCATGTTGTCACAATGCCCACTTACCCCCCCAGACACCTCAACCCACCCTTGCTGACCTTCTATACCCCCCCTTTTTTTCTTTTTTTTTTTCTTTTTATTAAACAAGAGAAAGTAGACAGATACATGTTGGTAAATGCTAACTGTCTGTATTCACATAGAGACACAGTGTAATCTCTGAGCCCAATATACAGAGAAAGGAAAAAAGCTAGAAGTCTATGCACTACTACACAGGGGCCTGGCACCCCCAGTCTCCAGCAGAGCCAAGGGGGCCGAAGGGTTTTCTTTTTTCCCACAGAGCACAGTGGTGGTGTTGAATCCACAGTTTGAGACAACAAAGGATAAAAATGAATTTAGAACAGAATAGTGGAGATTCTTTTCCTGTTGTATTTTGTTCAAGGTATTTCCCCCAAAATAGGTTGAGAACCATGGTGTTGAGAAGAGACCTCAAAAACAGGGCTACTGAGCACAAGAGGGGTTGGGGGGGGGGGAGGGAAATGACTGCAACTTGCTCCCAGGGACTGGAGAAAATTAAAAAATAAAAAGAAAATAAAAAAGAGGGTTGGAATCCATCAGTCTTCTGTGCTAGTCATCCTCGCCTTCATCCTCCTGAAAGAATAAGCGACCAGTCAACCATGGGGCAAATTCAAAGACCTTCCACTAGCTCTTGGGCACACAACGGACCTTACCAAACACAGACTACTCCTTGGAGCACCCAGTTCTCATAGCTTAAACATGAATCTCCATTAAGCTAGCACTCTCCGGAGAATATGCTTATAGATTAAGAGCACTTCAGGACCCCAGCCCCCACACAGTGGCTCACAATCACCCATAACGTCAGTACCAGGGGAGCCTATGCCCTCTTCTGATCTGTGCAGACAAGTCACGTGTAGTGCACAGACATGTAGGCAAATCACCCATACACATAAAATATTAAAGCGAGGGGGGAAAGACCCAGATGTTAATACCTCATCTCCCCCACTATTTCAGTCAGTTACACATTCTAATTATATTATATTCTACAGTTCTGTTACTCATTATTATCTTCTATATATGATCTCCAAAGTCACTGGGGACTTAACAAGTCTCCTCACCTCTCCTTCCTCCCCTTCATCATCATCTTCATCTTCTTCACCTTCATCTTCATCCCCTTCCTCATCAATATCTTCCAAGCCTTCCTCTTCTTCATCATCATCATCATCATCTTCTGCCTCTCCTTCTTCATCATCCATATCAGGAACCTTAAAAAACCAGGGAATGTTCCTTTATGAACTCACTTTGCAGGACACATTGCCATCCTCAAGTTAGTGACCATCAACTCACCAAATAGTACTGCAAGGGGTTTGGCCAAATATCGTCTTTGATGACCTCTCCTAACTCATCTGCACCTGCATCAGAATGGTCAGTGAACCAGGTGAAGAAACTCTCCGGCTCTTCATGCTGCCTCTTCCTGCTGGCCTTATTCTGCGTTTGACTTGAGCGTTTTGTCAAATCCTAAAGGAAAATATCGGTATGTTCTATATTAGCCTTCTCCAACACCCAAATGCCCCCAAAGCGCAAAAGATCACATTACTAAGAACAATTATAAAATGTGTACTTGCAAACTGCTTTCACAGAAGGATGTTATCTATCAACTGTGGGATTTTATAAAATTATTTCCACTGTAGACCTAGAAGCCAGGCCCGTGTCTCCAAAATAAAAATTGAAAACCAAAAATGTGTAAGTATGGAAGACACTGCACTATGAAAACTTTGACCTGACACACTGGCATGAATCTCTGCACTTTTCACCCAGCAATCACTAAGGCCCTGAGCACTCACTAGTAGTCAAGAGATTCAGCTGAGCCACCATATAAATACCTTTCCAGACTTCCATTTGATTTCAGTGGACTTTGAAGATGGGTCACCACTCTCATTCAGATGAAATTCTTTGGAGAGAACTTTATTTTCAAAGTAAGGATTTTCATCAAAATACTATAAAAGATCAAAAGATTAGAAATGAATAAACAACTCTCAGAACCAAAGCACACATTCATTTTTACAGTTGCAAACTGGATGTTAGGTACTTACAAAATCTATTCTGTAACCTGATTTAATGTCTTCAAATTCTGTCACTTCAACTCTGGTCAAGTAATGCAGAGCCTCTTCATCTTCCTCCCCAAGCAGTGCAGACACTAGAGAACACATCAGATCAGTTCAAGTGTGAATGGATAACTACCCGTTAGAGTGGTTACAAATTGAATAACAACTTTGCTCTCTGATAAACTCTCCTTTGTCCTGCCTGCAGTCCTTTGAGATCAAGTGGCCCCAGAGCTCCCCAATCCCAGGACAAATGCTCAGTACTGCTGACCCACCACATACCTTGTGGATGGTTGACAAATGTTGTTACCCAAAAATTTGGGATTTTGGCGATCAATTCTGACCTCTTCTGAAAAAATGGTTGGCGGAGTTTGTTATATTTTTGTTCTACTTTCAAAATTTCCTCACTGGCTTGTTCATTAAGTCTGAAACAATGAAGACATGTTGACTACGATGGTTATTTGACAAACATAAACTGTTCAAGACTACGGAATACGTTTTATTTCTTACTGGCTTCAGGACTGCAAAAGATCTATCTGTAGAAGCTCACTCCCTAGCTTATTCCTGAAGACCATAACAAAAAACTAAGACAGTAAAGCTAAATACCAAACTGACACATCTTGGCTACATTGTTGCCCTCCTTAGGGACTGGGAATCTGGAATCCCTGCCCCCAGGCCTCTCTGAGAACCAAAACCACAGAGCTAACTCTAGTATTGGCAACATTTATATTTTAGCAAACTCCATTTCCAGGCTATTCTGACTGTGTTTCCCAGGAGCAGAAAGTATTAAGTGAAGGTGTTACTCAAAAACAAAAAACAAAATAAAAAACAAAACAACAAAAAACAAGCAACATTGTTGCCATACTACCCCATGAAAATCCAGGCAGCCACCAGGCCATTTTATAGCCTTTAAAAAGCATACTCAACCTAAGTCGGCCTGCATTGAGGAGGTTGAGGTACGTTTACTTTAACCCAGGAATTATGAACAGACCAAGAAACAGGGCTTGAGTGCATATTCACCAAAACCTTCCTGTGATTGACTGCTCATCAGATCCCCAAGAAAACTTCCATAAAGTGAATGAAATAAATTTACCTGTCTATTTCATTTTGTACTTCGTCAATGTGTTCAATTGCTTCTTGCTGTTCTTTTTCTGCAAAAACAAAAAAGGAACACGAGACTCAATACAAATCACAAGCTACACTTCCTGATACTATGATGTGAACTGTTAACAGTAAAGCTGCTAGAAGTGTGCTTACTACAAAGCATGCTCCCCACGTGTTCAAGCATGCAGTTGACAAATTACTTTCTCATTACTCGACCGTTCACAAATTAAGATATCTGCTAGGCTATTCAGAAAAATGCTTCATTACTGGATCACTTTTTATATAGTTTCGAAGGGTCCAATCATCGGCCTTCATTATGAAAGGTGAGGGAGAGGCTTAGCCTCATTCAGAAATTCTCCGTGTTTATTACTAATCACATTATACACTTGCAGTAGAATGGTGCCAGCTGCTAACTTAATGTGGAAACTAATCCATGACAAATTAAGATACTACCAACTGGTACAACCGCTTTAAAAGAAATAAATACTGCTCTCAATTTATTATGATTATCAACACATACCGACAAAGACCAGTCACCAAACTACCACAGTCGTCTTTGCAGTCTTAGAATGTGAACCTGAATCCAATCCGACCTTACTCTTCAAACCCAATCCTGACGAGCCTGGTCACCACACGCGGCCGTGCAGGATTTTTGAACACACTGGAAAAATGCCGTCCCAAACTCAGGAGGCACAAGGAGCAAAGGGGGTGTGCTCCTAATTCCTGCCCTTTTGTCCGGTGAGGGCTGCGAAGGCTTTTACAAAGCCAAGTGGGCGTGAAGGGGCCCGATCGCGCGGTTCATTTCCGGTAACTCGCCCTGGGGTCTGCAGCTGCCCTCGGCTCAAAACGACCCTCCCGGTGAGGACTAGGCGTCCTAAGGGTCCTTGAAAGCCCCTGCATCGCTCGGCCTCGGCGCCAGATTCCCCGCGCGCCCGGCGCGCCCGAGTGTGGCTGCCCCACGTGGGGTGTGCAACCCGCGCGGCCCGGAGCATCCTCCCGCCGGCTCCGCGTCGCTACCCCGCCCCAGACCGAGGCGGCTCCCGGTCCCGCCGCGGCGCCGGCTCCGGGCGGGAAGCAGGGCGGCGGGAGAGGCCGGGCCGCAGGGCTGCGTCCGGCCGCACCATGTGGCGGCGGCGGCGGCGGCTGATGGGAGCGAGGCATCATGGCGGAGCACAATAAAGAGAGGCTTCTCGGGAGGGAGGGAGGGAGGGAGGGAGGGAGGGGGAGGAGAGCGCGGGCGGGGGGAAGGGGGGGTCTCCGCCCGCCGCGCAGGCCGCAGCGCCCCCGCCTCGCCCGCGCCGCCCGCCGCCGCGGCGCCACCCCGGCCCCCCGGCCCCGCGCCGCACACAAAAAGGGCGCCGGCCCCGCGGGCCCCGCGCGCCCCCCGCAGCCCCGCGGCCCGGGCCGAAAGATGGCGGCGCGGCCGGGCCCCCGCCGCGCCCGGTCCTCACCTGAGGTCTCGTCGGCCCCGTCGTGGTTGGAGTTGAGCTCCTTTTTACTGGCTTTGGCCGTCGGCGCCGACATGGTGCCCTCCGCGGTCGGGGCGGGGAGCGGGGAGGGGGAGCGAAGGGACGGCCTAGGGGGCGGCCAGCGGCTTCCCCTCACGCCACACGCGCGGCGCCCGCTTGCTCCGGCCGCCTCCTCCCGGCGCTCACTTGCTCGCCCTCCCCCTGGCTGCCTGGCGCTGCCCGCGGGGCCTGACGCCGAGGCAGGCCCGGGCGCGTTGTGGCGGGCCCCCGGCCGGGGCTCTCGCTGAAGGCGGGGAGGCGGCGGCGGCGGCGGCTCGGCTGGACTCCTCGACTCGCGCCCCGCGCTCCGGCTCGCTTCTCGATTGCCCTGAGCCGCCTCCTCCTCCTCCTCCTCCTCCTCCTCCTCCTCCACCTCCTCCACTTCGCGGCGAGGGGCAGTCGGCAGAGCGCAGGCGCACCAGGCCTGCGCAAGTCCCGCCTCCGACCGGAGACGCTCGCGCCGCGCAGCTATTGGCTGGGGCCGCGGGCCAGGGGGCGGGGCCGTGGCGGGTGGTGGTGGTGGTGGTGGGGACACTGGGGCCTGGACGAGAGGCGGGAGGAAGCGGCTCCGCGACGCATGGTCCGGGCCCCGCGCGGCGCTCCCCTCCCCCGCTTTCCCCTTCTCCAGCCGACCCGGGACGTTTGCGCGCGGCGGCGGCGGCGGGCGCGCGGTGACTTGAGGGGCGGGGCCTCTTCTCCCCAATACCCGCGCATCACGTGGTGGCTGAGCGGCTTCCCTTTGCGGGGCGGCCGGGGGGCGCCGGAGAGGGGGCGCGCGCAGCCCCTCGGAAGAGCAGGCCTTGGTAATACACAGACTACCCTCACCGGCCTGAGTTCTGCACCCCGGGCACCCTCGGACCTTCCTTCCTCTTCTTGGGAGAAAGAAGCACCTTCACCCTTTTTTCTAGGTGGAGAAATTGCGAACCCAACTCAAACTCTGGGTTTGTGTGCAAAACTACCAACAGTTCGTCTATCCAGTCTACTCACAGGGTCCTACTGTACCCTTGGGCCAAGTCAAGCCTCCTCTAGGCACTCGGATCTGAAATTTTAAAAGCTGTCACATGTCACATTTAAACAGGGTCCGCTGAATGTAGGAAGGAAGCGGCATTCTGCCACGAGTCCTTCGGCCCAACTTAGTCCCAGGTGCCCATCTCAGCGGTGAGAGGAGAGAAGTTTTGGAGGAGACAAATGGAGAAATGTTTAGGCTTTTTAAACATCAAAGGCTAAAACAGCAAAAACCAGTTTTAGATTAAAAAGCCCTTAAGCACTATATCGGGAGGAGGCTCTCTGCTTAAACAGTTTTCCAGGACTGGAAAAGACAGCAGCTTTCCTGTCTACCTGTACCCCAACACGTGGTCCTGGAAAAGCCAGAAATCTCACCTGGGTGCTATGCAACTTGAGCGTGGGGTTATTCACCCACCTTCCAGCATTCCTGTTTTATTATCAGTTCTTAAAGATAAAGCAGTGTGACTTTAATAGTCAAGACATCCATGGTGGGGGATCAATAAATGTAAAATACACCATATACAGTTCATCAACACCAGGAAATTCATCTAAACCTTCTGGCGCACCTTATGCTCAATTCAGTGAATTCTAGTCATCTATTGCGGTTAACTTAACCCTGTGAACAGTCCTAAGGAGCCCCACCGCTCCCAAGCACAGGGACCTCCAGCACATACAACTATGGACAGGTTCCTTAAAGAGGGAAACATCTGACAAATAAAAAGCAGAGGAACAAAATTTGTGATCTGGAACGTTTGCTAAATCTCTGGTAATACTTTCACCGTGCATAATTCAAGACAGTCCTGTGAGGTCCTGGCACAGTTGCAAAGAAATTCCACAAACAAAACCAGGCAAGTAAGGAGACTTGGGTCTCGAGACTGAGACAGAGAGACCTAGAGCCGAGGCCAGCCTGGGCTACAGTGTGCGACAATGTCTCAAAAGGATAACAGCTGTCAACTCCCGAAAGGCCCACCACACGGCTTGAGCATTCCTATGGTCCACGCTGAAATAAGCTATATTTTCATGTAACCCTCATTCGATACAAAGTAGGTTCTATGGATAATTATTCTTTGGGTGCTGGGAATTGAACCTGGGGCCTACTAGGTAAGTCCTCTATCACTTAACCACGGCCGAGGCAGCCTCAAACTGAACTCATACATAAGACACAGAGTACATTTTACAGATAAAACTAAACTTGAGGTAATAGGACAGGAACCTTCCGCCTGGTGCCCGCTAAGCTGTCATTTGCTATTAGTCCACAAAGCCCCACCCCCAACAGAACTTTACAAGAGGCAGGATCAAGATAAATCAATATTTTTCTTTGTGGGGAGCCTGGAACGGGCTATGTAGACCAGGATGGCTTTGAACTTGGGTTCCTTCCGTCCCAGACCCCTCAGTGTTTTAAATGTGGCCTGGGAAACACAACTGACATCAACACTTGGCACACACACACACTTACACAAAACCAATACACACCTACTAAGAATGATGGATTTCAGTTTCTTTCCCCCCCCCTTTTTTTTTTTTTTTTGGTTTTTCGAGACAGGGTTTCTCTGTGTAGCTTTGAGCCTTTCCTGGAACTCACTCTGTAGCCCAGGCTGGCCTCAAACTCAGAGATCCTCCTGGCTCTGCCTCCCGATTGCTGGGATTAAAGGCGTGTGCCACCACCGCCCGGCCATTTCTTTCAGTGTTTGGTCTGTGTGCATATAAATATAAGCATACCATATTGTTGCAAGTGCAAGGAAGACCAAAAGAGGATGCTGGCTCCTCCCAGAGCTGGAGTTACAGGTGGTTGTGAGCCACCATGTGGGTGCTGGGAAACTAAATCCAAATCCTCAGCAAGGCCAAAGTGCTCTAGCACGGAACCACCCCTCCGATCTCTTTCTTTTTTTAACTACAAGCCACACCTCATTACACAGACTTCATGGGCCACTCCTAGGAAGAAACTTGGTCTGAAAAAGTGATGTTTTTCAACCACAAAGTCTGGCCCACGGGTTGGTACCGTTACCCACACAGCATGTATCAACGAAGTACCTGATCTACAGAAGACCCAAGAGGCTCAAGGGGCCAACTTCTGATTAGGCGCTGGCCTTCAAGATGAATGCAAGGGTACTAGAAAACAATGCAGAACAGCAAGCGACGGAGTAAATATGGGAGAGGTCTGGCCTGGGTGCTATCAGGGGGCCTCCAGGCACAGCACACTTCTTGTTGGTGCTGTAAGGGCTGTTGTGATGCCACACTGGGTACAGTGTGCTTTAGCCATTTCTTGCCAGCAAACTAAATGGAAGACCATGCAGCAACTTTTGGTCTCTATACGCAGGACCTGGGCACGATGGTGCCCTCCCGGCTGTCTGGATCAAAAGTTCAAGGTCACCCCCACTGACAAGTTTGGGGCCAGCTTGGGATGTACGAAGCCCTTTTCAAAACAAGGAAAAATACCAGGTGTGGTGGTGCCTTTAATCCCAGCACCTCAGAGACAGGCAGGCTGAGCACCAGGCCAACCAGGGCTGCATATGGAGACCCTGTCTTTATCATTCTGGGACAGAGGGCAGGTCTCTGCCTGCCATTTGAAAGGCGAGGGACTGAGACACAGCAACGGGAAACAGGGCCACAGAAGTGCTGAGATGTCCACTCCACTGGGTGCCTAGTGTTCCTTCCACCCGTGGCACTAAACTTCAGCCAAACCGACACTTTCCCTCTGCTTTCCTGCCCGGTACCGGACCCAAGCCACGCGGGAAAACACCACACCACGACTCGGAGCTGTGTCTAGGAAACGCAGCTCTCACCATAACATAGGAAGGCGAAAAGTGCAAGCTCGAAAACCACGATCTGAATGGAAAATGAGGAAAGTGCTAGGGTAGGGTGACACTGGGTGCGGCCAACAGCAGCTTCTGATAGGGGCTAAGGCTCGGAGGGAGAGGCTGGAGAGTGATCTCCCCACAACATTACCGCCCTGCCACCCGGGGTGGGAGGAGAGGCACGGGTTTCCTGGCAGAGGACAAGTCAGTGTCCAGGGCTAGGTGAGAGAATGCAACTCCAGGCGTTTCGGCGACATTATAGGTGTTAGAGGGGGTCCACCACATAGGGAACCTGCAGAAGTAGGTGGGGACCAGGTGGGTAGGGTCCTCGGTACCGGAAGTCTTAGTTTGTACCTGGAGGGCAACCGAGAGGCTGTCTTACAAGTCTGGGAGCCAGTCACGTGACTAGCTTTGCTCGGGCAGGATGGGAGAAGGAAGCTGGGAGCCACACGAGGTGGCAGTAATTCAGGCCAGAGTTGTGCGCTGGCGGCTGCCGCCAACAGGGAGAGCGACCTGAGAGGCCTTGAACCCCAGAACTCGGAGTTGGAGGGGCGGGGAAGTCTCAGAATGGTTGCTGGTGCATTGACTCGTGCAGAACCGCCACATGAGAGTTTGGGGGCTGGGAAGAGCAAGCTGGGTCCCACGTGGTGTCGCGGGCCAGAGGAAGTCCCCTCCGCACGGGTTTCCCAGTCCCGCGCTTTCCGCTCCTTCTCTTACATCTGCCTCCTTCCCCGCCGCCGCGAGCTGAGAGCCTTTCGGGAGGGTTTGTGGGGGTCCCATCTCCAGAAGGATCGGGGGAGAGAAAAGCCAATCACGGAGTCGATCACCAAGGAAACGCCATGGAGGAACTTACCTCCCTTCGGCAGGCCGGGGGAGGCCGACTTGTCCTCCAGCTTCGGGGCAGGAGCCGATTTGGGTTTCTTGGACTGAGGCAGGAGCGCAGATTGCCGTTTCGGGGCCATGGCACAAGGGAAGAGGCCAGGAGCCAGAGGCCGGCGGCCCGACGCTCACAGCAGGAAGGAACTCGCAGGAACTGAGGCGGCCTCAGGTGCGGGAGATTTAAGTCGGCCTCGAAGCCGCCCTGCCCGCGGGGGATATTTACATGACAGTGGGACACACACCCCCACGCCCCTTCTCCCAGCCTCCTCGCCCTCCCTCCAATCAGCAGAAACTTCTTTGAGTTGCTCTTGGCGGGGGCTTCCCGGCGTTGGAGGAGGGGGCGGCTTCTGCCCGAGCAGCGTCGCGCTGCCTTTGAACCCCGGATTGCACTGGGAAGCCCGCGGTCGGTGGCCCTGCCCTCCCCCCGAGCCCCTCCGCCACGCCGCCCGGCCCCCATCGAGAGTTCTTCCTCTTTCCCTTCACCCCCCAGTTTGGTCTCCGGCAGACTTAGCTACGTGCTGTTGCCTCACCTCAGCCTGGAACATTCTTCGCTCTTCCCAACCCCCCTACTCCTGCGTCTGGCTAGACTCCTTCCCAGCCTGCAGATCGCCGCTTGCAGGGACAGATGAGTGTTGGAAGAAAAGGGATTCCAAGGCGAGAATTACAAAAATCGCGGCGGGGGAGGGAAGGGAAGACTTGGCGCATCCATTCCCTCTACCCCAAAGGGCTTGAGTCAGAGAAGTAAAATGCGCTGGCTCAGCCTGTAGTCTTTTTGTTTTGTTTTTACTTTTTTGCCTTTTGATTTTTTTCAAGACAGGGTTTCTCTATGTAGTCCTGGCTGTTCTGGAACTCATTTTTTTTTAGACCAGACTGTCCTCGAACTCAAGAGACCGGCCCGCCTTTGCCTCCGTAGTGCTGGGATTAAAGACAAGCACTACCACGCCCGGCTTTTAGGCTGTAATCTTAGCACTCAGAAGTTGAGTCTGGAGAATCGCAGGTTTCAGACCAGTGTGGACTACAGTGCAAAACCCTGCCCCAAAAACTAAAAGAAAAAAAGTGTGTGTGTGTGTGTGTGTGTGTGTGTGTGTGTGGCTGGGGATGGAACCAAGGCCTCCAGAGCACTAACACACTACCACTCAGCTACACCTTGCTCCTGCCAGAGCATCTGGCTTGGGTGCCACATACCCAGGTAATAAGTAACAAACGTGGCCCGACGGGCATGGTGGCACACACCTTTAATCCCAGCACTCAGGAGACAGAGCCAGGCAGATCTCTGAGTATGAGGCCAGCCTGGTCTACAGAGGGAGTTCCAGAACAGCCAGGGCTACACAGAGAAACCCTGCCTTGAAAAAAAAAAGAAAAAAGAAACAAACAAACCAATGTGAGGAGTGTACTCAGCAGTAGAGCACGTGCCTACCAATTGAAAAGCACACCAAAAAATAAGACAACAAAGGAAGCCAGACAGATGAGATGGCCCCGCAGGTAAAGCGCTTGCTGTCAGCCGAGGGCCTGAGTTCTGTTCCCACAGGAAGTCCTATCACTCTCCCATCACACAATGTCATACACACAATTTTTAAAAAATTTTTTCAAGGCTGGCGGCGGTGGCTCACGCCTTTAATCCCAGCACTCAGGAGGCAGAGCCAGGCGGATCTCTGTGAGTTCGAGGCCAGCCTGGGCTACAGCGCGAGATCCAAGACAGGCACCAAAACTATTACAGAGAAACTCCATGGAGTGGGGGGATTTTTTTTCCAAGACAGTTTCACGATATAGTTTTGACTATCTTGGAGCTTACTATGTAGACCAGGCTGGCCTTAAACTCAAGATATCTGCCTTCCTCTGGTGTACTGACATTAAAATCCTGTGACGCCAAGCCCCAGCAAAAAAAATAAATTTTAACCAGACAGTGGTGGCACAGGCCTTTAATCCCAGCAGGCAGATCTCTGTGAGTTTGGGGCCAGCCTGGTCTACAGAGTGAGTTCCAGGACAGGCTCCAAAGCTACACAGAGGAACTCTGTCTTGGGAAAAAAAGAAAAGAAAAGAAAAGAAAAATTAATTAATTAATTAAAAATAAATTTAAAAATTTTTTAAAATATAGTTCAAGCCAGCCATGATGGCACAGGCTTTTAACCCAAGCCCTCAAAGGCAGAGGTAGATAGATCTCTGAGTTCCAGGCTAGCCAAGAGAAGAGTGAGATCCAGTCTCAAAAGAAGAGGAGGAAGAGAAGGGGCTGGAGATGGCTTGGAGATTAAAAACCCTCTTTGCTCTAGCAGAAATGGCAGGCTCCATTCCCAGCCCCCACATGGCTGCTCACTACTGACTTTAACTCACTTCCAGGGGATCTGACAGCCTTTTCTGTCCTCCCAGGGTAACAACAAACACACAAGTAGTACACAGACATTCATACACACAGAACACCCACACATGTAAAGTAAAAATAAATACTTAAAAAAAAACAAAAAACACAGCAATTGTTGTAGCCATGGCCAGCAGTAATCTCAGCACGTGGGAATGAGGCAGAAAGAACAGGGGTTCAAGGTCATCCTTGGGTATATATGTGTATATATATATATATATATATATATATATATATATATATATATATATATCAAATTTGAGGCCAGCAGCCTGGGCTACAGAAGGCTTTCTTACACACACACACACACACACACACACACACACACACACACACACACACACAGAGAGAGAGAGAGAAAGAGAGAGAGAGAGAAAACAAACAAAAACTAGTAACAATCCTGAAGATTTTTCAACTTAGGGCAGGCAAGAAATTCTCAGCCAATGGGAGGTTGGTACAGCCACTCTGGAAAACTGCTGGGTCCACAGAGCTGGATGAGCACAGTCCTGGCAACCAGGCCCGCTGTGTCTCTGACACAAGTGTCTGCACAGATGCCCTATTTGCTTGAGAATGCTCAGAGCACTAGGATTCATAATTGCACACCCAATCTGTAAGGAACTAAAGCTTTTGCAAGAAGATAAGAATAAAGTTTAGGCGGGCTGGAGAGATGGCTCAGAGGTTAAGAACACTGGCTGCTCTTCCAGAGGTCCTGAGTTCAATTCCCAGCAACCATATGGTGGCTCACAACCATCTATAACGGGATCTGAGGCCCTCTTCTGCTAGGCAGGGATACATGCAGACAGAACACTGTATACATAATACATAAATAAATCTTTTTAAAAAAAATAAGAAAGTTTAGAAACAATGTTGAATGGAAGACAAGAAACACAAATAGTGACCAGTGGGATCTCATTTGCATAAATTACAGAGTCAGGCCCAGTTTGGTGGATCACATTTGTAATCCACCAGCCCAGGAGACTGAAACAAGATCGATGCAGCCGTGGATTACAGAGTGAGACCTTGTCTCAAAAAATGGGGGTGGGGGATGGCAGGATGGTTCAGCAGATAAAAGCTGACTGCCACCAGGTGGTGGTGACGCCTTTAATCCCAGCACTCAGGAGGCAGAGCCAGGCAGATCTCTGTGAGTTCGAAGTCAGTCTGGTCTACAGAGCAAGATCCAGGACAGGCACCAAAACTACACAGAGGAATCTCTCAAAGAAAAAAAAAGCAAAAAGGAACAAAAGCTGACTGCCTGGGTTTGATCTGCAGGACCTACATGGTGGAGGAGACCACACCAAAAATGTAGCTCCTGTGCACATTCACATACACATGATAAATAAATAAATATAAAACAAGCCAAAATAAATGTAATTTATAATTTTTAGAACTGGAGACATGGCTCAGCAGATAAGAGCACTGGTTGCAGTCGGGCGGTGGTGGCGCACGCCTGTAATCCAAGCACTGGGGAGGCAGAGGCAGGGGGAGTTCGAGGCCAGCCTGGTCTACAGAGCAAGATTCTGGACAGCCAGGACTGTTACACAGAGAAACCCTGTCTCAAAAAACCAAAATAAAAATAAATAAATGTAAAGCTAGTCTATGTTATTAGAAATGCAGTGTGAAGGTCACCTTGCCTTGGAAGGACATGGGTCACTAAAGAAGACATTAGTATTCCTCTTTGGTAGTTCACTCCTAATTCTCTTTCACTTTTCCTTAATAAATCCATGTTCCCCTAGCTCAAAATAATAAAGTAAAATGTAGACATTAAAGGACTCTGGCAGTGCAGTCTTTGGATTAGGGGCTTGTTTATTAATTTATCTTATGTGTCCTGTGTCTGTGTGTGCCATATGCCTGCACTACCCAAGGGGCCCAAAAGAGGGCGTCTGCCCCATCCAGGTGCTGGGGACTTAACTCAGGTCCTCTGAAGAGGAACAAGTGCTGTTTAAGTGCCCCAGTTATCTCTCTCCCACATTTCAACACTTGAAAAAAATTATTTTATCTTTTTTTAGAAAGTACATTTATTTAGTATGCTGCAAAGTAACAGCAGAATTTAGTTGTTTTGTTGAGGTTGGGTCTCATGCTATTGCCCAGGCTATCCCTAAACTCTTTTTATGTATAATTTATTTTTATTTGTTTGTTTATATGGGCACATGCATGCCATAGCAATGCACATAGAGGTAAATAGTTGCCAGGCTGGGTGGTACCTCCCTAGGATGAGTTAGGCTCCAGGTTCCATCCCCAGTGCTGCCCTGGTGGGGATGGAGGGGGCTGAGGTTGAATACACAGTGGAAGAACAAAGGAGGAATAGGAGAATAGGAAAACAGATCAAAAGTAAATAAATAGCCTGGTGTGGCAGGGCACTGCCTGAATGCCAGCACTCTGAGGCAAAGCCAAGTAGATCTCTGTGAGTTTGAAGCCATCACGGTGTACATAGTGAGTTCTAGGACAGCCAGGGCTGCATAGTGAGAGCCTGTCTCAAAACATAAAAACAGCCAGGCAGTGGTGGCTCACGCCTTTAATCCCAGCACTCGGGAGGCAAAGGCAAGTGGATCTCTGTGTCAGCCTGGTCTTCAGACTGAGTTCCAGGAAAGACAAGGCTACACTGAGAAACCCTGTCTGGAAAACAAAAAAACAAAACAATACAAAACAAAACAAACAAAAAACAATCAAAACAAAAAAACAAACAAAAAACACAAAAACAAAAATAAAAACAACAATCCCTCCTCCCCCACCAAAAATAATGTAGGGGCTGGAGAGATGGCTCAGTGCTTAAGAGAACTTGTGATTTTGCACAGGATCTAGGTTTCTTTGTTCCTAGGACCCACAAGAGGGTTCACAACTGCCTGTAACTTCAGAGGATCTGATGCTGTCTACTGACCTTGACGTCCTAGGACACTAGGCATGCACATGGTGTACTTAGATACTTGAAGACTAACACACGCATGAAATAAAAATAAATAAATCTTTAAATATAAAAACAACCAGGGGGGCTGTTGAGAAGCCTTAGTTGGTACAAGTACTTGTCACCTGATCCTGAGCTCGATAATGGTATAGGAGAGGACTGACTCCCAAAAGTTGTCCTCTGATCTCTATATGTACACCATGGCACATGCACACATGTGCACACACAGAGGCGTGCACACCATGGCACGTGCACACACGTGCACACACAGAGGCATGCACACAAAGTAAATAAATATTTAAAATAACCATAAAGAGATACTTGATTTATGTAGTACAATTACTAAAATTAAATTAATTTAAAAATGTAATTTTAAAAAAGAGGGGATGCTAGTTGGCTCGGCAGGCAAAGCTGCACAATGACCTGAATTAGGTCCCTGAAACTCGGTGAGATCTGACTCCAAAAATTGTCTTCTGTCTGCCACACAGGTGCCCATGTCCCCACCCCATAATAA